GGATCTGTTCTTGAATCCTCTACAATTCTTTGCTTCGATGAATAATTTGCTAGAATACTGTAAATGTGTCCTAGGGGCCAACAAACTGCAAATATACATACATAGATTGCCAGAAAAATTCTCCACCTTTTTACCCCGACTAAATAGAGAAGGATCAGGTAATCCATACCTTACGTTTTCGCAATAACCGTGTTTTAAATTACCAAGACCATTATGATTTCGGGATTTAAAAGATATATAGGGGCATTGACATTGGTTTTTTCATTCCGTCCGTCACGTCTTAACCAAGTAAATGCTGGGTAGTTTTCCAAAAATGCAACATTTTAACATTCCGAAATTACATATATTCAATAAATGATATTTATAAACACTTGAAAACCCCTCCAAATTTTACTTAAGATTTTTCCATGGATAGAATAAAAAACGCTTAAAAGAATGGAAATTAGATATAATGCGAGAAAGAATGTACTATTGTGACACCATTAGTTTCAAAACACATGTCCGTCCGTCCCAGTCTCTCTGTACGACCAAACGTCATCGTCTCCATCCGAGAGTCCGTCCGTACGGAAGGTCGTCAATCCTTCATCCCCTCTGCCCTTTTCTTTCTGTCCGTCCATCACTCCGTATGTTCGCTGTCTGTCCGTCCGTCCGTCCGTCCGTCCGTCCGTCCGTCCGTCCGTCCGTCCGTCCGTCCGTCCGTCTGTCTGTCTATCCGTCTGTCTGTCAATCCGTCTGTCTGTCTGTCCGTCTGTCTGTCTATCCGTCTGTCTGTCCGTCTGTCTCTATATTCGCCTGTTTTTCTGTATATCCGTCAGTCTGTTTATCCTCCTGTCTCTTTGTCAGTTTGTCTGTCTATCCTCCTGCCCGCCCATCTGGTTGGTTTTTCAATAAAACCTGTGAATTCTCAAAACTTCGAAAAAATGTTTGTTTTGGGCCCCTTTTTACAACTATTGTAGTGCAGTAGTTAGTGACAATACATATTTATCTGAAACAAATGTGTAAAAAAATGGATGAAAATTAGACCTATACATAATATATACAAATTTTAAAACAGAATATGAATGGGTTTCGCTAATTTTGAATGAAATCGAGACAGTTTAAAAAAACAATATAAATATGATTTCCTCAAAAAAGTTTTAAATTTTAAAAATATTTGCATTAGAGCAATTTTTCGTTAGTAATATTATTGTCCAGTTTCATTAAACCTTCAGAATTTCGAATATTCGAAATTATTTTTCGAATCCCATCTTAAGTAGATTTTTTTCTTAATGCATTTCCCATTCCGATAGAAAACTATATTTACATTTTTTACAGTACTAGTAGTATTTTTGTTATTTTGAGTTAAATGGTGACAAAATTCAAATTTCTTCAAACCTTGCAACAGTCACCTTCGGAAGGTTGCCTTCGCGGCGTCGACACGTATGTCGAGGGGTGGCCGAGACGGATAGAGTCGCAACTACAGCAGTCCACGGTCTTTACACGAACAAATATCAATATGAACGATCAAAATGAGAGATTTTTCCCATTGGTTCATCTGAATTGAACTTTTCCTCTATTGAAATTCCAAAGCAACGATAATCGAAAATAACAAAATCAAAACAAGGTAGTGTAAGGACGATAATAAAGGTAATTTTCAAACTTACACGAATTGAGCTCAGTGTGTTATGGCAGAAATAAGTCAGCATTTTAAATCATGGGAAGGGAATGAATTCGTAAATTTTTTTATTACAATATATCGATTAATTTATCAATAATCTATAGGTAGACACTTTCTCTGGTTAAACTCGCAAAGGAAGGAAATCTTCTCAGAAATAGCTTTTTGTGTTTACGATTACCTTCCTAAATGTGTTTAAATGCTGGCTTGTCCATATAACCATTGCCAATCAAATTCGATTCTTGTCAAGTTTGAAAAATATATTTATTATTATCTACCCTACGCTCTCAATACGTTATCGTTCTTTGGAATGATCGAGGTTTTGTAATTTCAGTAGAAGACGACTTAAATTCAGATGAATCAATCAATAGAAAAATATCTCACATTCTGGTCGTTAACATTGTGTATCTTACTGTGACTTCTGTCAAGACCATGGATTGCTGTGGTTATGCCTTTTAACCCTTACTGCCACCCCTCTCTCTCCATGCAGCAGTCTTGTCGCCGCAAGACCACCTTCCCCGAAGGCGAGAGTTGCAAGGGCTGCTACAGGAAGTATTCTTCAGTTAATTCAAAATCACGTCAGAAAGTCCAATTTTATACTCAAATTAGCATCAAATACTAACATACGACCCATCATTGTACTCCTCTTTTCATATCCTATCCATTGCTGATGAGAAAAATATATAGTTCCTTTAAAAAATCAAAGATGATTAAATTTCTCGAATACTAAAAATATTATAGACGATTTCTAAGAAATGTTACATGGCCCATGAGACCGCATTGTTCAGCAAAACTGCATTTCAATATCGTGAACAGTTCAGAAACTGGTATAGATGTCGGTAGTTGGTGACAAACCTGTATACGTACGTCTGTCCTTCAAGAAATATGTATATAGGTGTACCTATACGTTCGTGAAAGCTTGCAATGTGTTGACAGCAAATAAAAAAAATTACTTAAACTCAATAGATCTCATAGAATAAAAGCTTGTATGTTCAAACTTCAAAACAGTTTAGTTTGAAAGTAAAACGGTACTGGCATTTAACTTTCACACAATAATATTATATCCTTTTTAGATTAGTAGTCGCAGTGTTGTTGAAATGAATAATTGATAATGTATTCTTTAAGATAAAATACTAAAATGTGCGTGAAAATCTGAGGAATATACTGTACTGCCTGTTCGTCGCCCAAGAAATACCTCCTTTCTCCGCTCGTTGGTGAAAGGAGCGTAGCGAAATTTGCGTGGTCAGACGGAAGAGCCTGAGTCTCGCCACGTAAAATAAGGCATCAATTCAATTCAATTCTATTCTTCTTTTCGGAAGTACAATTGCTACTATAATGAATTCATTGGTTACTTTTGATACTTGTTCGTATTTTAATTGTATAGTATCATAGTTAAATAGTTAATCCAATTTTAAACAAAAAACTTATTAAAATATTCAAATATTTCTATTTTGATGCATTGTAAAATTATGGAATTTAAAACGAATTGGAAGCGAAACAATTTGTAAAATAGCTTACTTCGTTTTAATAAAGTTTCTTGAAATATTTTTAGTACACTTTCAATGTCTACGATGATCAACCGTTCAATGGGCCTTGCCAACCGTTGCCTTTTCAAGATGCGATTCTGTGGAAAATTTAGGAAATATACAAAGAAATGGAACTAATGTTTTTGATATTGATTGGTGTGTTCTTTCACGTACTACGAGCTTTTGCGAACGTATAGTGACACCTGTGTGTAGAAAAGACTAGCATATTCTATATTATGCATAGAATATGCATGTTTATGAACGTTCACTATTGTGAGCCAAAATGTATTTAAAAGGTTCCATTTAAACATTAAAGTTGTCTGGATATCTTTTTAAAAATGTAATTTTCGTGTTTAGTAAGTAGTAGTAAGCAAGTAGTTGGACGTACAGCAATTTTTCTTCAGACCGAGATTTTGAACTATTTTTACTTTCTTTTATACGTTTGTAAAGAGAAGGTATTGTAATAATACCACTATGAACTTATGTCCGTAAAATGCGTGTTTAATATTATTTTGAGGTGTAACTCCGCTCACATGTCAAGTCCACGGTCTATTAGTGCTGTTCCAAAGATGGTTAATACTGGTTCTTTTTTTAGGAGTTTCATGTATTTTTATGCCTCAAAAGCGTGTTTTCTGCCCGTGTGTCCACCCGTCCGTAAGTAAACAACACTGGCGTCTAAAGCGCACGGAGAACGGTCACCAAAATAGATATTTCCTGATCGATCTTGCCGATAATATTGCGCGTAAAATAAACTATAGTACTTGTATGTACTGTAATTTTAAGGATACCTTATATGAAGTTCTTACGACACCGAAAATATGTATAAAAATTGCTCTAATTTTTATCTTTTCTATAGACTCTTGTAGAGTAAAGTCCGCTTAGAAATATGACTTCTATCCAATTTTCCTTAAAAACCCTGAAATTTTGAAAATCGCTAAAGATCAACATTTTTTAGCCGTCAATCAATTACATGATTGACTAGAATAATTTTTACTTTTTTCCCATACTTCAACGTAGTAGAAAGAATGATTTGCTGCGGTAAAAATGATATTTTTCTTATGAAATCCCTTTTTCAAAATACACATATCTTTAAAATGTGTCTTGCATTTTTTTCAAAATATGTGGTTTCGGAATTATCTGTTGTGAACGGGGAACGATTTCTCAATATACGGAAGCTTCTTTATAATGGCTCCAATTTTCTTCATTAATATTTTGAAATGAAAGAGAAGAATGCACAGAATTGTATATAAATTGCCATTCATCATTGAAAATATATGCCATTCATTAAAATATTTTAATTTTTTTAAACATTAATCTTTTTATTTTTTAACCAATTTCACCTGTACATAATTACTTTAGAAATTAATTTTAATTAATGTCATTAATTTTTGTGAACACAAATACTTCAAATGATCTCTTTTGATATTGTATTTCTTGATATCTCAAAAGTTATCATATACAAGTATCATTAATTTGAATATTTATTAATCTATCTGTCAACTTATTATAAGTAATTTTACTAGTGGTTTGAAACTTAACGATAGGTTCGCGAGTCGCGTTGCGACATTCCATCGAATTGTGCAACAGCACAAATTTCATCCTTTCGGTATGAACCTTCACCAAAAATTAAAAGAAGGTGATTAACTACGGCGCCTCGAGTTTTTCAAGTTTGCACTCATGGCTCTAAGAGATGCTAGACATTTTCTACAGACAGTATTGTTCACCGAAGAAGCTACTTTCACTAACCATTTTTTGTCAATTTACGGAAAATGAACTATTGAACCATGGAAAATCCCCATTGAGGTTGAATACCAGCGGCAATGGAAAGTAAATGTCCGGTGTGACATACTTGGAACAATCATTAGGACCATACTTCATTAAGAAAACTTTTTAAACTTATTTAAGGTTGCTTTTCAACTTCTAAGGTCATTTAGCGACCATTGTAAGAACTTACTCTTTACACAACCATTGCGAGACATTGTTACGATTTTGCTCTAACTCAAGAAACATAACTATTAGGGCTACATCATGGTCCTTGCCGTCATATTAATGTTATAAGCGTAGTGCCGTGATGATGAGATCACAGAGGTATGATTAATTGTTCAGGTTTTATTGCGCAGAATCACTTTTCAATTGTTAGAAGTGTTATATCACCGCATTCCTCTTTTTACGAAATTTCCAATACATGTAAAGCATTCATAGTTTCTTGTAAAAACAAAAATGGTTCAATATCTCAGGGAATACGAGCATAAAGAAAAATTGCTGAACGTCCAAATACTTGCTTGTACTACTACTTAAGTACTTCGTGAAAACTACATTTCAATATCTGATACCGTTTGGAAAATGGTTTAATGGAGGTTGCAACCTTAGCTGGGTCGCGCAGGGTGTTCCAGCTAGAAAGCAAGAAACTTTACCTCCGAAATTACAAATTCCTCCTTCTTCTTGAAGTGTGCTTTCGTGTCGATTGTGGTGTAGAGGTCACAACTCGCAGTGAACACGTCACTCCATCGCGCTTCACGGACCACGAACTTTCAAACACATACATTGACCCCGGAATTTAAACTATTCATTTGACATTACTCCAACAACAAACACAGTCAACTGTATTATTGCTGAATTTGTCTTCTCAAGATCCATTGGTGTAAACATGTACAAAGATCTAAAAAAACGAAGTTCATCCAAAATCTTTAAAATTAAAAATGCTGCCAAAAACCTAACAACTACACATAATAAGCGCCAATGTCGTGTATCGTTTGATGAAAATGCCATCTCAATATATTGTATTGTTTAGAAAATTCAAGATGGGCACTTTAGTTGGGACAGCTAGTGTGTATACATATTATGTGCACCAAATCTGCTATATGTGTATATTATATATTTACTATCGTGAATACTATATGATTATGCATTTAAAATATTGTATATAAGTAAGTTATACTGTATACGAAGAAAGTAATCTAAACGTCTATTTCACATGTTCGAGGGTAAATACAATTTTTTTATTGATAACGTCAACTGCTCATAAGTATATTGTTGTGCAAGTTGAAAATTGCTCAACTAATAAAATTTGTTTCACTTTTGCTCAACTAATAAAACTTGTTTCACTTTTCAGAAACCAGAAGAATACTCAGAAAACGGAAGGAACAGAAGAAAGGCCCTGGATACAAAACTTACATGATGTCTGTGGACACAATGCTAGCTGAAGAACATGAAGGTAGATATTCAGTTGTAGAAATTTTAATACACTAAATAAATGTTAATATTATTTTCTTAGTTGATGCTTTTCACGCAATGTTAATATTGGCTACGTTGTTTGGATATATTGGCTTTATTTTCTGCATCTACCTATTAAAGTGTCAGAATTTTATAAGTATTTCTTCTCCCGTGCCATAATATAAACTTTAATGATTTTGTACCTAATTAAATACTTGAACTTTCCATATAATATTCCATAAAATATTTGAACTTTCCATAGAATTTTCATTTGAAACAAAAACCTGTACATAGAAGAATTTTACATTTTTTTAAATCATTCCATTGACTCTGCTGAGCAAAGTGTATAGAACTTGAATCGCCAATTTATTTCAAAATTAACAAAATTGGGTCTTCACTAACTCTATCAGACAGATAATTGTTATAAGACTACACTATATTAGCATATACCTTCAGATTATATAACTTATGAGCAAATACGAATGTATCTAATTATTACTTTTTGCCCTTACATATAAAGAAGAAAAAAGTATTCTAATCATATCCCGGAAAATGATGAAATTTGTGAAAGAAAAACTCTTAAATATTTTTTGGCATATATAGTAAATTACTTCCACTAATACATTGTGTAGTCAAAATCCATGTTTTGTTGGACCTTTGTACCGAAAATTCGATTCTCTGCCCCGTATGTTCATCTTGTGTCTGTCTGTGATCAACGCTAGCGTTAAACCGTTCAGACCATTTTCTCCCAAATTGATATTTTTCTGGTTCGATTAAAGGTACTCATAGTTCTCTAAATAAGAAACGAATATTTTGATTTCGGGGGTACTTAACATGGAGCCTCAAACATTTTCTCAAAAATTGCTCCAAATTTATTGATTGATGTTTGTTCTCGAGTAGCGTAAATGACGCTTAAAAGAAATGCACAAGTTTCATTTTATTGAAATCCGTCATTTTTGAAAATTGCAAAACTTCAATATCTTCCTCCAACTAGAATATTTGTAGATGTCAAATTTTTCTTAATAAAATCTATTGTCTGAAAACATCTTAAAATATGGTCATGTTTTAAACTGCGGGTAGTTTTCGTGGATTGTGACTGAAATATAAGCAATTTTTAAACAAATATATTCTCAAAAACATCTCCAATTTTTATCTTTAAGTTTTTCCCCGTGGGTAGCAAAGAACGGTAACAAACACCCCATTTTCGGCGAACTATTTTGAAAATTGCAAAAAAATAACATTACAAAAATACAATATTGATGAAAGAGATTTTTGCCTTCAGTGAAATCCGTTCTAAAATATTAGATCTTTCAAAAAGCTCATGTACAAATTTTTGAAAAAAACGAGTAGTTTTTGCATAGTTTCTGCTTGACATTGATCTAATCAGTGAAAAAGAAACATTTTTTCGAAAACGGCTGTTATTAAAAAAAATAAAAAAAGCATTCCGTGGATTTTTTCCAAACGACACTTAAAAATGGCACAGGTCTCATGTTCGTTGAACTTCATGAATTTATGAAGTTTAAATAAATTAGAAATAATGGGGGAGACGATTAATGTTTGTGCGTCATTAATAGTAAGTGAGAAACTGCATGGAGTAGCAGTAAAGTGCGTGTCGAATTAAATCTATGGCCCTGAGTTCGATTCTCGGTGCGGAGAATAATTTTTCTGTTTGGTAGCAATTTTGCAGGTTCAAGTAGTATAATTTTTCATTACAGTCCTTACAAATTACAATCAGTCTTTACAAATGATGCGAGAAAGTATATGCAGTTGCTGCACTAGTTTGGCCCGTTATATATTCAACACCCAAAGGAACAATTGAAATCCTATATCATCGCTGTGCAGGACAGTTCCGACATTTTGATTGATTAACGTGAATGGCTTCAGACTTTCATGGGCGTTGATGTTAGTGGATCCCATTTCGTAGATAGCCTTAAGCCGGCGAACAGCACCATTATAAGGTTTTAGCACCCATCTATTCCTTTATCGGAAAAACATTTGGCCGATGTAAACGATGCCGTTTGCTTTCACGGAAGTGTATAGTAGAGGATGCATCCAAAACGTGAACACCCAATCTATTTTTTTATTGTTCTGAAATTTTAATTCTATTTAGTATACAATTAGCAACGCCAGTTGCAGCGAGTACCGCACATACACACAGACACACACACACACACAGTGTACAAAAGTGCAAACTAGGCAACAGACAACTCTATTGATACCTTGCTGATCGCATCCAATTTGTTTGCAAAGATAAGTAAATAATAATAGCGACTTACACCTGCAAAGACGATGCTGAACAAACCCACATAAAATAGTTTTCTAAATGGTTGCACTGCTCAAGAACAAATAAAATAATCTAGTGTAACACTGCAAATTAAAATAGTTTAACAAAACCAGTCTTCACGAACATGGCAACAACATACTGTGGTATGTACTTATACATACTGTACAACAGTTCGTTACATGCCAAGAATATAAACTGTGTAATGTTACAACAACACACATTTTTTCGTATTATTTGTAACAGGTACGCATTATAATTCTTCTACAGGATAGACGCTACACAGAAATAAATTCTACCCACAATCCGTACTTCAATATGATGCACATGGTCGCCATTTTGAAAGTGGGTAAACTGTTGTACGATCCGGCATTTGTTGTTTAGTAAACGGTTGTGAAGGTGTCTTATTTCCGTTTCACTCATTTGGTGTGTGTATAACTAGTAACAACATACGTAACCGGAGGGGACATTTGTTTAATAAAGGCAAATATTAATATTGCAAATATGCAAATAATAAACATAGAGATTAATAGGTATAATTAGAAATGCATTATTAGTAATGCTACAGAATGACACAGACTTTCTCGTATTAATTTTCTACTTTCCATAGTCTGGCCTAGTTTATCGGACTTGCCTCATACTCTAGCCAGCTGCCATCTATCTCCGCCTAAGATACATATTTATTTCTTTGGTTTCCGAACAGTAGAACCAAAATAATACTTTAAGAATATTAAAGAAGAGTAAAACCTCGTCCTAAAAGACAATTTTCATTACAAAAATGTTAAGCTGTTTTTAAGAGAATATCGTTTAATCGTTACTAAAAATGCGAAACTGTAGCTCCTTTTCACAGAAAATGTTTGAGTTTTCGAAATACTTTACTTGAAATCATAGCTCCATAAGCACTTTAACTCACAAATGAAATAGTCTTTACAGATCGCTGGAAATGTGCATATAAACGGCGTGAGAGGTATTTAAAAAAATTACATTTGTGTAATTTTTTAAAATCAAAGTAATAAACCGTAATAAAATATGAAGGTTATGTCAAAATAAACAGTGCAATTAGCACTACCAGTTGGAAAAATTAGAAAAAAATTGGAGCGGTTTATTGAGAAAATGGCGTTTGAGCTGTCTCTTGCGGTTCCTTTGCACATTTTCGGGATGGTGGTCCGCGTTGGGCAGTGGCTCACTGAAGATCAAAGAAGTCGCTCTCAACTCTCCTTTCTGTGTAGTATCTATTCTGTGATACTAATACAGGTTCAAACCTGCAAAATTATTTGCAACCAGCAACATTTTTTTCTCCATGTCGAGAATCGAACTCAGGGCCATGGAGTTGATTCGATGAGCACTTTACCTATACTCCATACTGTTCCTCGACCGCGCTTACTTTTACCGATCCTGTTTGAAGATTGACAATGTAACAAATATTGCATCACTTGCCGGGATTCCTTGCGCTTATTGCGTCACCTGTCGCCCCCTTCCCTCCGTACTGGACGGTTCCGGGTTATTCGCGAGTCGCGTAGAAATGATGCGCACGTTCCCGATGGCTCGAGGCGGGCGTCAGCTAGGTATGAATTCCCCGCTGCAGTAGTCTGTCTGAAGTGGAAGCTTAGTTGTGAAGTGTGCATCGAGGTAAACAGTGGTGCAGTAGGGGAACAGCAGTCAGCAGTTTGAAGTCTGCAGTGGAAGTTGAGCTGTGAAGTGTGCATCGCGGTAAACTGCAGTGCAGTGGACCCTGGTCTGCGCAGTGAATTGTGGTCTGCGCAGGGAATTTTGGTCTGCGCAGTGGACCGTGGCCAGTGCATCGCACTGTGCGATAGTGTAGAAGAAGTGAATACTGTGAATAAATAATCAGAAGAAGGGAACAGTCTAAATAAATAATCAGAAGTGAATAGTGTAAATAAATAATCAGATTGAAGTGAACTGTGAAAATAAATAATCAAGAGAACAGAGTCGTGTGAAAAGAAAATAAACAAGTGAAGAACACAAGGACTGTGTAATATATTTGTAAATAGATCAAGTATTTTTAGTGTAGCATTGTTAACAAAATAAACGTTTTTGTTTAAATAATACCTGTGTGGGTTTAAATTCACCACAGAGAAACGTTACAATATTGTTGTCCTTAATACAATCTGTTCTTTAAAGACAGACCCTAGAGTAAAGTCATGTAAAGTACCCCTCGCAAAAATTTACGGGTGAAATTCTATCTTTCCAATCGCACAGACAAACTTGGACACCGAGGCAGGGGCACGTTGACCAATCGCTACAGTCAGAATCTTATGGCCTAGATGATTGGCGAAAAATCCCATGAGACGGGAAAGAGACTTACCTGGAGATGGGACATCGATTGTTTACGTATGTGGCGAAAATATATCTCGGAGACTTCGCATGCGCTTATCCCATGACGGAAAAATATTTCTAAGCGGAAGTTTTCGGACGAGTATTGGTGTGAATAGACTAGTGAATAATTAGTACATTACCATCAATTATACTAACATGTAACAATCAATTTGCAACTCCTACCAAAACTGTTCTTTTGATACATTCAACTCAGACACAATTTGTAGCGCACATTTCGGAATTTGTTTATAAAATTGTGAATTGTTGCAAAATTATTAATTCGTTTTTCTGTTGTGGAATACTCCTCGCTTTAGAGTGGAAACATTTTGATATTATTTATAAATTTGCAGATGTTGCAATTTTTTATTGTTTTCTCTAAATGC